ACAAACAGAAAAAAAAACAAACAAACAAACCAAACAAAAATTTAGGGGCAAAAAGGCAAAATAAATTAAGTAGGAGAAAATAATAAGGAACAGACAGAAAATTAGCACAGGCAGAAATTGGTAATGAGATAAACAGATAAGCATCTAACCAGGATGTTCAAGGTAAGGGAGGGAGAGAAGGGAGGGGGAGGGGGAGGGGGGAGAGAGAGGGAGGGAGGCAGGAGGGAGGGAGGCAGGAGGGAGAGGGAGAGAACATCAGAACTACGGAACAGCATTGCTTCTGGGGAGGACACTGACCCGGAGCATGTGCGTAGCGTTTTCTGAGGTCATGACATGGACTTTGGGTTGCACAGGTGTGTGAGTTTGAGAGATGCAAGGCATGATGTGTTTTAAGGTTTGTGCATTCCACTGTATCTATATTTTACCTCAGAGGAGGAGGGGGTAAAAATGAAGGAATCATAAGCCCAGGGCCCAGCTTCCATCCTTCCTCCACGCTCCTTGGCATCACTTGACCCTGATGGGGTAGCTCTCCATCTGTGGGTGCCCTTGCCTGCCCCGGCGCCTCGCCCTCCTGCTTCACCTCGGCTTTTATTCACAGTTCCTTCTCACTGGCACAGACCAGGTGTCCAGTCTGTGGGTCCATCTTCTGCTCTCCATGCTCCCCTGCTCCTCTTGTCAGCTCTGGTTTAAAAGCCCTCTGGTTTTTTGTTAAGGAAGGCCTGGCCCAAATGTCCTAAAACCCCTTTAGAACTTGGGGCACTTGGGATCAGTTTGTTCATTGTATTCTTGGACACGCGTGTTAGGGTTACAAGAAGAGTCCTGTTAGGGTAATCCATACTGAGCCTGGCTCTGCTACCTGGGTTTGAGACAAGGATGAACACCTGTGTCCCAATCCTTTGCTGCTTCTCATCTTTCCTTCTTTAAGAAATGCCTGGGGAAAAGGCTCTGGTCCTCCAGAAACCTTTTCTAGGCAAAAATCGAAAACCATTCTCCACAGCCCCTTCTGAAATTGAGAAAATCCCTTCCCAGTTAGCCTGCCTCCTGGCCGCTTCTGAGTCTAGTTCTCACCACGCACACCGTGTACACACACTCGGAACAGGTCCTGCCTGGTTCGCTCTGCTTGGCTCTGAGTGTTCCTGGGACTGAGCCAGTCCCAACAAAGCAGATAGCTGGACCCTTGGCAGGATGTGGTGGGTGGGGCTGTTATCACAGGTGCCAGCCGAGGAGGTGGCATGCTAGGCTCGCCATCCGCTTCCAGGTCTTTCCTTTGGAACTGATCCATATCCAGGTCACAGACAGAAGAGTCTTCAGGGCTTGCCTGGCAGGTGACAGTCACATTCCCAGGACACAAGTCAAGAGAAACAGCCAGTGTGAAGAAATCCTTTCTCTCCCCTCTCCCTCCCTCCCCCCTCCTTCTTAAACAATACTACAAGACCCTACATACACACATAGCCACATGGTTCCTCGGAGTTCCCATGGTTCCAGTTGCTCAGCCTCTCTGCCTCTCTGAACTGTGAGTGAGCGATGTGGGCATGGTTGGACCAGCTTTGTAGTGTCTGTCTGTCCGTGTCCGTGTTCACTCTGCTGACGGTCACAGATCAAGCGGTCAAGTTTCTATCTGTTGTCTGCAGTTTAACTGTCCTCCAGAAAAACACGGGTCCCAGAGGGCAGGAGTCTGAGTCTCAGAGGATCCAGAGCCACATACATGGGCTCACTGTAGCCGAGGCTAGCCTCTAACTCATTCTGTAGTCAAGGATGACCTAAGCAGTGGGGAATGTTGGGAATACAGATAATTACCATGCCCAGCAGACACAAATCTTAAAAATTATTTACTAATTCATCAGTATTGAAGCTTTTATTTTGTTTTGTTTGTTTGTTTGTTTGCTTGGAGACAGAGTCTTACTTTGTAGACCAGGCTGGTCCTGAATGCACAATCCTCCTGCTTCAGTTTCTCCAGTCCTGGGATTGTGGGTACATACCACCGCACCCAGTTTTATGCAGGGGTATGGAGTGAACCCAGGGTTTTGTGCATGCTAGGCCAACACACTACCATCTAAAGTACATACCCCTTAAGTGTGAAATTTCTTACTGGTTGACTAAAGGAACCACTAACATGTTAGAAGCATAAAGTGTGGGGTTCTCTGCTGATCCCCTGTCGCAGGCTCCTCAGCTTTCACAGGCATCCTCAAGATGGCCAACCCATCTCTCAGGGACGTGTACACACAGGCTGACCCAGCTGGTGTCCGCAGGATGACTAGCCAGGGTGGGGAATACGTGCTGGGGTCACGGAGACATTTCTTGCCTTGAAGCCCTTGGCTCATTAGCTCCATGTTCTAACCAACCAAACCTGCCAGCTCTAGACTGGATGATGCTTGTAGCAGTTCCTGGCATCCGATAGACAGTCTGTGAATCAGAACTCTTATTCTCCTGCATGTCTGCACAGCAACCACCCCTCATAGGATGTGCAAGCCTACGCGGTCTCAAGGCTCTGTGAACCCTGATTCACTGGAGATTTGATAGTGCGCAGTCTGGCTGCCTCCTCCGCATGTTCTGATACTCAGGACCCAGGCAGGAGTCCTGGGTCTGATCCAGGCTTGGTACTTCTGTAACCTCCCTGTGTGACTCTGAGCTGGTTACCAGCTCTCAGTTTCCGCTCATCTATTGATTGGAATTTGATACCCCGTGCTCTGCCCGGGTTACTGAAGAGAAGTGCAGATCCAGACAGAAAACAGTGCCTCGGGGCTCTGAAAGTGAAAGGGGTCATTGTGTGGCTCTTCAAAGAAGAAGACTGTTGCCCAACATCTGTTCACCCTTCTCCAACTGTGCTGGCAGCAGAATGCACTGTTTTTAAAGACGGATGCTTTAGTTCCCTGATTCCTGGGGCGTCCAGCCCCCCACCAGGTAAGCTGCAAAAGGAACCGGAGGAAGTGGCTTTGAGGTCAGGCACGTGGACATGTGTGGACATGGGCTCTGAGACCCTCGGCTTCCAGGTCTTTGAAGCCTTTTCCTTCTCACCTCTCAGATGTCCCGTGTCCTTGGTGTCCCTTTGTTCTTGTCCATCCAATCCTGGAGCCAAGACCCTCCCACACTCATCAGCCTGCCCCTGGAAAGGCCCGTCACCTTTTTGGTCAAGGACAGCTGAATTGGGACTTTAGAGTTGTAGTCGTTTGGCACGCCTGTACCCACCTTGAGGGTAACACTGAATCTCTACACCGTTATGATTTCCCAATAATCGTATGTAGTAAGTAGTTCTGGGAAAGTGAGACAATGAATCTATAATTCGCTTCTGAGCATGTGTACATAAAGATGTCAGGATGACGGCAATGCCGTGTGGCATTTTGCCTTGTGGCACAGTCGCAGCAGGACAGCAGCAACCAGGCATGCATCAGGAATGGATAAATCTTACCCACATGTTACTGAGCTAAAGCTAGAACGAAGAACAGGCTTTAGCATTGGCACCCTTTATAGGAAGTTCAAAAGGACAAAATTAAAATAAGGTGTTAGAAGTCAGGGTAGTGCCATGCTCTCCTTGAGGGTGGGATAGTGTGGGAGCCCATTTTCAGGTTCCTTGTGGCTTTACCCAGCAGGTCCGCATAGAGGAGGATGATTAGGACCACGGGCCTGAGTGCAGGTGTCTGAGATGGTCTGCACTTGGCTGTGCTGGAGGGAGGTCTTTTGCTCCACCCCTTGGCGTCTCTATAAAAACCCTGGGGCAGAGACAGGGCCTGTTGGAATAGGTTCCAGGCCCTCTCAAGGCTATCCTTTATTTTCTATCTGTTTATCTCCGCAATATTCTCCACAATATAAATCCTTCTATCTAATATTTCCTGCTGCTCACACTCAAGAAAACTCTGGGGAGCTGTGGGGTTGGTGGGTAAATGCCCCACAGGATAGAAAGAGGAGAGCCATGAGGAAGGCTTGAGGGCTGGTCCTGTACCATTTCTTGGTCTGGGTGTTGTTCAGTTTGAAGAGGGTCAGAACTGTGTACATTTTAAATTGTGTGATTTCGATCTCCAAGTTGTATTTTTTGTTTGGTTGTTTTTGTTTTTTTTGTTGTTGTTGTTGTTTGTTTCTTGAGACAGGGTTTCTCCGTGTGGTTTTGGTTCCTGTCCTGGCTCTCGCTCTGTAGACCAGGCTGGCCTCGAACTCACAGAGATCTGCCTGGCTCTGCCTCCCAAGTGCTGGGATTAAAGGCGTGCCCCACTTGCCGGTCAGCATCCAAGTTGTATTTTAAAGCATGCATAAAGATGGCACTTACTGATTTTGTAATCTGACCTGCTTTTTGCAGCCAGTGTAAGTCTGTAGGTCCCAAAGCATTTCCAGAAACTCCAGCCTAGTACATCTAATGGTGTGGGTCACAGAGAGCCACAGTTATCTCCTGAGTGGTGCCGTTACCAAACACCATGATATCCCAGGATGCTCTAATGGAGGCCTTGTTAATCATAATCCTTCCAGGATGGGAAAAGCTCCCCTCCATGGATTAGCATCTCCCCTTCTCAATCCAGACATCCCTGGTTCTCACAGATGACGATGGCCCTCAGCCCACACCATGCCGGGGGACTTCCATATCCCTTGTGTTCACAGCTCTCCAGCAGCTAACATGGAACCCATGCAGCATGGGCATTCTGAAAACATGAATCCGAGTCTTCCCCCTTGAAATTTTCCTCCCTACAGAATTCTGCCTGGATGGATGGGGTTGTGCTCAGAATGACTTTCCCACTTGTAACCTGGATGACATCAGTCAGATTTGTTCCCTCCTAAGCCCTACCTATCTGTAGATGAGGACTGCAGCCCCAGCATCCTGGTGTTCACATGAACTGCAGTGGAGCAGGTATCTATGCATGCTCTTGGGTGACATTTTCAGTCCTTGCCTGATGTGTAGTCAGTAAGAGGAGACATTGGAGAGAAGGCCCTTCGCCCCTTAATAGTAACCCAAATAATACAAAGCTTGAAAGATGTTCAAAGAAACACTATCAATTTATTGATTTCCTATATTTCAACAAAGCAAATACATGGTGTATCATACAAGGAAACAGGGCCTGGCTGGCACAAGGTTCTCATACAAGACAGAGCCAGGAGAGTAAGGGCTGGAGGGAGATTCCCAGACACCACAAGCCCAGAGCTCCAGCCGGGAGCTGAGTGGACATGCACAGGTCATCCTTGTCCTCTTGGGTCCTTAGAAGAGGTGTGGGATCTGGGTGGCTGGTCCATCCCCCACTGGGTGGCTGCAGGTGGCCAATAGTTGGATCTCTCACAGGAAATCCCAAAGTCAGGGAAGGCCTTTCTTATGGGTCCTCAACTGTAACTTGTTTTAGGCACGTAAATAGGAAGCAAATTCGAATTAAAACACTAAGGTAGGTCTGGGATACATAAAGTCCAGCCAGCCTCTTATTTCCTGCTTCTAGGAATGTATCCGTAAGCCCCATTAATTTTACCCTTCTTGAGTGACAGGCGTGAGTTGGGCCACGCTTGAAATCATGGAGGAAGTTACCATCATCAGGCCTGGCTCCTGGGTGTCTAGGCACCCATTTCATCCCCAAAGCAAAAGGTGGGCCTACCTAACCTTCCTTCTAGGGAAAGGAAAACTAAGCCCCTGGGCTGCAGGAAGTGAGCACCGTGCTGAAGGGAGGGCGTTGCTCGGGGTCTAAAACAGTTCTACTAGCTGACTTGGATGTTCTACATGTTTCTCTCCAACTTACTTAAGAAGGGGACGGTTCCTAAGGCCCAGGACTTGGGTATCCTTTCTCCTTGGGAGCACACACACTCTATGGGACTGGGGTGTGGGAGGTTTCATTTACTGATGTACCTTAAGTGCCTCCTTAGAACACTGCCTGGCATGGAGTAGTGTGCCAATGGCATGTTTTAAGAAATGGATTGTTTTGGATCCCAATGACTGGCAAGGGAGATCCCAAAAAAACCTATTCAAGGACAGTGTAATGGGGTAGCATCCCACAATGATACTGGAGAAGGCAGGAGGCAGATTCTAACATGAGCCAAACTGGGAAGGGTGTTACAGGCTCAGAATGCCAGAGCACACTGGCTTAGATAGTTTAGGACTCCTCTCAGGGACAATGTCCTCGTCTATCTGACCTCCATCCTCAGTGGACAGATCTTTTACTAAGCTATCCTGAGCCATAGAGATGTTTACAGTCTTACTGCTGGGGTAAGAAGTGGGGTGGGCCAGGAAGCACCCTACATCCTCCTTGAAAGAGGTGTGGCCCTGATCACTCTTATCTACCCAATGCTAACCATGCTAGTTGAGAGGTGCTAGCCTAGACATGAGAGGCCCTGGGGCGGCTCAGCTCTGCCCCAACCCACTATCTGTCCTAGGGACCTTGACACAGACAGGTCCACTCTTGGGGTTCTCTCAGGCGCTCTTTGGCTACTACTGTCTGCAGTGCAAAGTTGGGGGGGGGGTTGGCTGCCTCCACCCCGATAGGCCTCTTTGTTTCACAGGGACAGAATACAGACAGGACAATTAGGGTTCAGGGAGAAAGAGGGATGGCTGAGGGCTAGGATGTGGGCTGGCTGATGCCAAACAGGACACCTCCTTTTCCTGGTCCATCCATCCAAATTCCCCACCTTCAGCCTCTGGGACCCCCCAAGCATTCTCTCACCTGACACTAAGCAGGCTGGGTCTGAGGCACATCACAGATAATTTCCAGTTCTCCTCCCTTGTTCTATGAGAAGCCTGAGCGGGCAGCTGCCTGGTCCCCAACTGTTTCCGCCCTAATCCCCCCGGAAGATGGGAACAGCTACCTGTTCCCGTAGCTCTTTGACTTCAGGCACTACCCTCGCTTTCTTTCTCCTGAAATAGCTGCTTGCAGGCTCTCAGAAATCTGGGGCTCTGCTGGCTAAAGGCTTCATGTGGCTGCAGAACCCCAAAGAATGATGAGCCTCTCTCTTGGCTCCTGTTCCCTAGCTAAGCAAGTGACAACCATCCTGCGCCTTCTGGAGCTCCCATCTGCCTCCTAAGAGGGAACATTAGCCTCGGCCCTGGCTACTGCCCCTTCTCATGCCATCTGGGAAGTGGCAGAGAAAGGCTGCTGAACTCTTTGTGGCTTGACCGGCAAGGGCCCCTGTCTGGACACATGATACTTCCAGTTAGCCCAACACATGTGGCTCTTGTCTTTAAGGGAGACATGGAGAGTCCTCTGTGTTGTCTGTGAACTGCAAAGAATCAGCATACCTAGCCTGTTGCAGTTGTTGGTTATGTTGTTAGGCATACACACACACACACACATACATGCACGCACGCACGCACGCACATACTTACATTATACACATTATATATATATACTGTTTCTCAGAGAAGAAAGTATTGACATCAGATATAAGCCCCTTTAACTCAAGAAAGTTCCCCCACCCAACCTCCCAAACCCTCTTGCCTCCCAGATCCCCTAAGGAAAAAAAAAAGAATCAAAAATTATTTCCATCATCCACAGTTTTCAGGTTGCTCTCGGTTGCGTCTGGACGTCTCCAAATACTGCACAGGATGAAGCAGTTAACCCATCCTCAAGGCCTGAGGTCTTCTGAGCTGGGTCATGTCTTTCTAGAAAGAGAAACTGTCAGGTTAGGGTATATTGAAAGGCGGACATGGTGGTGTGTGCCTGCAATATCAGTTATTTGGCTAAGGCAGCAGGATCACATGGTTAAGGCCAACCTAGGCTACAGAGCAAGTCCAAGGCTAGCCTGGGAGACTTAGGAAGACCCTATCTCAAGATAAAATATAAGCAAAAGAGGTTAGAAGCTAGTGGTAGAGTGTTTGCCTAGAATGTGTGAGGTCCTCGGTTAAATCCCCAACAACCGCAACATGCAGAGTTATATGTAGTGAGACCTTGCTATACCAGAAAGTCTGGCCCATGCTGTACACTGCTTCTCACTTACACCCTCCCAAAGGTGTCTGCTTCAATGTTTATCTGTGGTTCTTGACTTCTCTGCATGAGAAACCCTTCGGATACCCATTTAAAAATACATTTTCCAGCTGGGCGGTGGTGGCGCACGCCTTTAATCCCAGTACTCGGGAGGCAGAGCCAGGCGGATCTCTGTGAGTTCGAGGCCAGCCTGGGCTACCAAGTGAGTTCCAGGAGAGGCGCAAAGCTACACAGAGAAACCCTGTCTCGAAAAACCAAAAAAAAAAAAAAATACATTTTCCTACATCCCACTTCAGGGCTCTCAAGTCAGAATTGACAAGATGGAAGGCCAGAGCGTGAGTAGCAAGCATTCCAGCTGATTCCAGAGAATGTTCAGCTTACAAAGCTTTGACAGAGTGTTAGATTTGGGCTTCTGGTCTCTAGAATCATCAACTGGAAACAAAGCTTTTCCACACAAAGTGTGTGCAGGATGAAAATGGGTTTTAGAAGGATGGAGGGGCTGGAGAGATGGCTCAGTGGCGAAGAGCATTGGCTGCTCTTCCAGAGGACTCGGGTTTGATTCCCAGCACCCCTGTGGTGGCTCACAACGGTCTGTAACTCCGGTTTCCAGAGGATCCGATGTCCTCTTCTGGCTTCCTTGGAAACCTGGCACGCATAAAGTGCACAGACATACATGTAGGCAAGATGCTCATACACATAAAAAAAAAAATAATCGAAGAATAAAAAAATAAGGATGGAAAGTTAGCTATAGCTGACCGAACCCAGAATGGCACAGTGTGACCCCTCCCCCTAGTATATAACCCACTCCTGAGTGGCACCACCTGGGTTGTGCAGTGGGCAACCTACCCAGTTATACTTAGTAGTCCTTCACAGAGCTCTGGCCCTTCCAGTGTTGATAAAACATCACATATCCTTAATTTCCTGTGATGGGACAGCCATGTCCTCAGCTAGGAGTCTACATGGCTGTCCTTCCTGCCCTGCTAGTTAGTCAGAGCCCAACTGCTTGCCAAGACGAATGATGCATCTCCCTAGAGCGCACAGGCGCTACTAGCCTCTCTGAGCGGCTGCGACGGTGGGCCTGGAGACGTCCCTTGCCACGGGGCAGGCCAGTTCTCACCTGCAAGCTGAACTTGCTTGGACAGTCTCTTCTTAGAACCGGGAGGTGAAGTTTCTGAGGCTGTTGGCCCCAGCTATGGTTCCCAGCATGTTCCTATCGAAACCTTGCTGTAAGAGGAGAAACAAACACATGATGCATCATGGGAGAAGCAGGGTGGGGCTTGATGCCTGGTCAGGAGCTACTTCTCTAACATCTGTGGGTTCATCTAGACTCTGGATACACCAGTGTGCTCTGACCACTGTGTACGTATGCCTGGGCCACAAGGGACCTGATTTAAAAAACCTAATGCCGTGAACATCAGTGCCGTTAGTGAATTGCATTTGGAATTCCTCTTGCACATTTGAGTTTGTGTTTGCAGAAATCGAGCAAAGGATTAGAGTTCTTTATTTTTGAGAATGGGTCTCATGTAGCCCTCTTTACATAGGCAAGTGTCCTGGCTAGTTGTATGTCAACTTGAAACAGCTGGAGTTATCTGAAAGGAAGGAACCTCAATTGAGAAAATGCCTCCATAAGATCCTGCTGTAAGGCATTTTTTTAAATTAGTAATCAATGGGGGAGGGCCCAGTCCATTATGGGTGTGGCCATCCCTGGGCTGGTGGTTCTGGATTTTATAAGAAAGCAGGCTGAGCAAGCATGGGAAACAAGCCAGTAAGCAGCACCCCTCCATGGCCTCTGCATCAGCTTCTGCCTCCAGGTCCCTGCCCTGTGTGAGATTGATTCCCCTCCAACCTGCTTTTTGGTCATGGTATTTCATCACAGCAGTAGGAACCCTAAGACACCAAGGATGGCTTTGAATTCTTGAATCTCCTACCTTTGCCTCCCCAGAGCAAGGATTACAGGTGTGTGCCACCACACCTGGCTTTTCTAGGTCTCAGACAGTGAGGACAGGCCTAGTGGCTCTCCAGTGCCAAAGGCACAAGGGCAAACTCTTGAGTGGAAACTGAAGGGGTTCTGGTACTGAGCCCTGAGCCTTTCCAGGACATACTACATTCCCAAATGGCTGGTATGCCCTTTGTCCAGCCTTCTTGCCACCTTGATTGAAGCCAGAGGTTCTCAATCTTCCTAATGCTGTGACCCTTTAATACATTCCCTCACATTGTGGTGACCCCCAACCATAACATTATTTTCGTTGCTACTTCATAACTATAATTTTGCAACTGTTATGAGTCATAATGTAAATATCTGCTGTGCAGGACAGTCTGAGGTGACCCCTGTAAAAGGGTCCTTTGACCCCCAAAGGGGCCACAACTCATGCGTCGAGAACCACTGCTCTAAGTGCTCTTACACTGGGCTTTTCTCACATTTCCTCCACCTCCCAGCTGCATGGCACCTGTGGTAGATCTTCTGGTCAGAGTCCTGCTCACACTCACTGCAGCTCACATCTGCTCCTGACTCTCCTCTGGAGTCAGTCTCTCCGTGCTTTTTGGAGTGCACAAACCTTTCCCTCCCTTCCCAATCTGCTGGGACTTTAGTACGGGGCAAGCATGGGAAGAGTCTAGTCAGGTGGGCCACTGGCATATGCTCTTACCTGCCTGAGGATGCCTTGCAGCTCCCTGCTGGCCCACATGTCAGACAGGAGTAGCCGGGCAGCCTCTGCAGCCTTAGGTGAGGCGCTGTACAGGTGGGAAGTGGGTTGTGAGATCAAAGTCCCTATGATACGGGAACACCCCTTCTCTGGCCACCATCCCCCCTCCCCCACGCCTTTAGGGTCCAGAGATGTGGGGAGGCCCTGAGTGCATGAAAGAGGAACCCTAATGGGGACAGTGAGCCTGAGCCATTATACAATGGGCACATCTCACACCCCGGCCCATCTGGAGGCACTCTAGAGGTTAGTTCTCTAGCCCTGGGTGAAGAGAGAGCCCCATGAAGCAGGAGAAAGTTCTCATACAATTAGATCTCACTTTTCTATGCTTCCTGATGAACCTTGGACAGCCTAGTGCCCCACATATCCCCAGCTAAGAAGTGTACTACTCTGTTCCCTCCACTGGAGTCTGAAGCAACAGCCCTTCAGCATCAGCTTCTAGAATGTCTTCCTCAGCCTGCCCCTGCCTCCCCTGGGCACATTCTCTGCTCCCTGGGAGCTACTGTGTGGGGAGGGGAAGTGGGTCCCTTCTCCGCCCACCTGTTGCGGCACAGGTTGAAGACATTGTTGAGCATGCTGTTGGAGAAGTACTGCTTGGCCATCTGAGGCTGAGAGGTCATCAGGTTCCTCACAGTGTAGCAGGCTGAGGACAAGATATCTTCAGAGTTGCTGGTGTTGCCAGTGTGGCTGGTGAGGAGTCTGGTTACCTCTGGGAACACCTGGTTTCCTAGAGATAAAAAAAAAAGGAGTTGGGGAATGGGGTCAGGATTGCCTTGGATTGGCAGAGGGGTTCCCTCAAGGGCCTCAGTACTCAAAGTTCTCTGCCAGACAGCAAGCAAGGTAGCCCCTCAAAGACCCACAGGACCCATGGATTTCTGTAGATTCACCCATCAAGTGACAATTCCCTCTTACTCTAATGCTTCTCTTGGACCAAATTCCCCTCAGAATACTCATACTATGGAATACATTGAGGATGACCTCCTAGAAGGCTCTAGAAAATTCAGGCCTGTGTGTCCTAGGTGGACGACAGGCATCTTACCCATCATTCTGTGCAGCACAGGGTGGCGGGACATATTGCTCAGCAGAGAGGCCCCGGACCGCACCACATCTGAATTGCCGGATTGCAGGAGGCGGGCGATTTGTGGCAAGCCCTTTTCCTTTAGCCCAATCAACTGGCTCATACCACTGGACATCTGAGAGAAAAGACCCAGGGAGGAGCTGACCTGTGGCCTCCAGGCACCATGGTTAGTAGAGAGGCAGATAACCCCAAGTAAAGAAACCCCAAGCCTTTTCTCTTTCACCCTTAAAGTTGGGAGGAAACAAAATTGCTCAGACCCGAGTGACTATGGAACAGCCAGGCTTCACCTGCCCCTGGCCAGTCCCCATGCCTGGTCAACCGGAAGCTCTGGTGGGTAGGCAGGGGACGCATCATTTCTCTCACTCATGGTGACCCAGGATTAGTGTCTAGACTGGCGGTGTCCCATTCTCACTCACAGTGAGATGCCTCTCTTGGGCAGTTATCTGTTTCCATGAAACCCTGGGGCCAAGGGCATGTGACAATTTTAAAAAGTCTGATTATCTTCAAACTCCCCAACCTCTACAGAATCCAATGCACATTTACTGTGGCCTTCCCCAAGACCAAGATGGCTCAGAAGGGGTCTGGGTCAATATAGAGATAGAACGGGGATCCCTTGCAGGTAAGCCAGTTTATCTGGGCTGCAAACCCACATCCTGGTGTGACCTAATCTAGGCCAGTTTGGTGTCCTTGAGAACCCCAGGCTCCTCCTCTAAGACCCGGAGGTGATCTTGACCCTCAGGATGCCCATGTGTACTGCTCCCCAAGTCTCTTCTGTCCTGAGTGTATCTGGGTAACAACAGCTGGTCATCCCCCAGTATTCTACGGCTTCCCCTGCACCATCACGACCTTGAACTCCAAGGCTGATTCAGTCACAGCTTTCTCTGAATCTGCTCATGCCTATTTTTCTGTCAGTTCATCACATGGGGATTTCTCTAGCTAAACAAACTCCTCATCCCTGTCCCCGAATGCACGCGGAGCCCAAGTGGTTGAGTGCCCATAGGACACGAGATTATAGTGTGGGCATTACCCAGGAGTTCTCAGAGGGCAGAGGTGTGTCTGCCCCCATCACTGCTCTGGTGACCAGCCCAGGGTCCGACATGCTCACATCTGCAGCTCGAGGCTTACTCAGAGCCAGATGCGTTTGAGAGACTCGGGCAGGGAAAGGATAGGCTTGGCGGGAAATGCAGGGAGTGGGCTGGAGAAATGGAGAGGGAGCCTCCTCACCAGCCCCTTGCTGGCTGTCAGGTTCTGCAGGGCCCCGGCACAGGCCTCCAGGGTGGCATCTTTCTTGCTCTTGCCCATGAGGTTCAGGTAGGTGCGGATGGCATCGGAGTGGTACAGCCAGCTGCTGCCCTTGGGGTTGGTCTCCTCCTCAGGAAGGGGGCAGTCATAGTTATTGTTCTGCAGACAGACAGCAGGGCAGTGAGGGATCTGGTGATGTAGCATACCCAAGCATTCTACCTCTGCCCCAATCCCAGGTTGTGGATTCTGCGGGGAAGGATGGGAGAAGACTGCTCCCTGAACCCCCTTTCCTCTGCACATTCCAGAGCTCCCCCAAATGAGGGACTGGTCCACTGTTCTCTAGATGGTCTCTGGGCAGCATCTCAGGAAGTGTGCTCCAGGGTAGCTTCATCCTTGAGCCTCCAACTATGTAAGGCCACGCTAGGTTTGGCAGCAAGATGCTGAGAATTTTATCTATCTTGGGATCTCCAGGCTGGCCTGGAGCTTGGCTTCTACATCCCGACTGTCATCTACAGCATCTTTCTTGGGAGGCTCAGGAGGTGGTAGGATCCCTTGCCCAAGATGGTAAGAGTTCTATTGTTTCCTCAGCCTCAGAGGTTAGGGGTAGACAAGGATGATTTCCCCATTATGTAATAAGAGGAATGGAGGCCCACAGAAAGGGGCCTCCAGCTGTTTCCCTTGGGTGGTTTGGACTCCTACAGCCTCCAAGGGTCCTCTGTGCACTCTAGGAGGTGGCAGGACTGTGGTGTGCTTCCCAGAACAAGGCTTTGCCTAGGGCTTGTCCTCTAGGGCATTTTTTGGCTCCTAGAGAAGAGGGCTGCGGGGAGGTGGACCTGGTGGGTGCTTGGGGAGTGGGCCCCGCCTCTGCAGTGGCCACCGCTCACCATCATCTTGTCACCCCTGTTGCTGAAGCAGCCTGTAGAGGACTTCTCAGTGTAGGTGTTGCGGGCGTTGTACTCCAGCTGGCGGTAGCGGGTGGGCACCTCGGCATCCAGACGGTAGGAGAGGTTATGCAGGATACACATGCAGTTCTCCACGGACTGCGGGCAAGCAGAGGAGGCTTGAGTTCTGTCCCAGTCCCAACAGACTTCTGGGCCTGCCCCCCACCCGGAGTATTCACAGTGGCCTGCGCCATTGTAAGTCGGGAAAGATCTCTCAGGCATACCCTGGGAACTAGTCAGGAGTCCTGCTTCATCAGTCACCTCCTGGCTGCTTGTACCTCTATGATGACTCACCTTGATGGTCCTCAGCTTCCTCAGGTGTAAAACAGACTATTCTCACCTCGTTTGTCTAGTGGGGGAGAGTAGGTACTAGGCCCCCATTCTACACCCACAGAATGAACCAACCCCAAACTGAAATTATTTTAAAAAAACACACAAGGTATTCCTGAGTATAGATTTCTTTCTTGGCATTATTAATAACTATTCATTTGGCGTTTATATTGTATTAGGTTTCATAAATAACATATGGATGATTTAAAGTGTACAAAGGAGCGCGTATAGGTTATATTCAAATACCGTGTTCATTTTATAGGAGGGCTTGAGTGCATGGGAATCTGGACCAATGTCTATGGTTACTGAGGGATGATTGTACAGGAAGAAAAACCAACCATGGGGCCTTGCACGTAGCACACACAGCAAACAGAGGTGACCATTCCCATTGCTACAGACCACGTGTGGGCCTGAAGACTAAAAGCGTCTCCCCTTCTAAAGCGACTTCCTTTAGAAGCAGTCCCAGTTTCTTCTGGCTTTAAAAGTATCTAGTTACCGCCATCTTTCCTGTCCCCTCTTCCCATGGTCATCCCTCAGCCCCCAACATCAAAGATGCTATGTGCATACCAACAACGAGAGCTGGGACCCGGGACTTCACAGAAGCATGGGGGTCCACAGCTGCATTTGCTTGTGGTGAGCCTCCAGGCTAAGGGCATGGTCACTTTTGGGGTCAGGGTGAGTCTGACTTCTATTGCTTAGGGTTGTCTGGGTACAGGAGATGTACACAGAGCAGGAAAAAGAAAAAAAAAAAGCACTTTTCCTGTAGTTAATGACAAGGCTGGTCTTAGAGGCCTTGTTATCCCTTCCAGTGAAGGAAGCAAGAGATAAAAATTTCCCTCCATTGACCTTCCTGGTGACCTGGGTGTGGGGACTGTGCCCTGAGCTACTGTCCGGCTGTTGAGGATGTGTCCTAGCCTCCAGTTCATCTTTTCTCCATGAACTGTCCCATCAATTTGCTCAGGCTGCTGCATCCAGAAGTCTAGAGAAGGCAGGAGGGGGCCTTGCCAATGGCTTTTCTGGGGGTGCTGGAAGGAGTTACGTCTTGGAAAGGACATGGGGGTCCTGGGAGCACTTTTACGGGCTCAGCACCACAATAACAGGGTGGCCCCTGAGCTCAAGCAGGAAGCACTTACATTGTTGTCCTGTCCCTGGGGCAGATTCCACAAGCATCCAGAAAGTGTAAACCTGACTCACGGGTTCTCAGAGAGAGAAACGTCAGGACCAGGAGAGTTCCCGACTTAAGTGTGTGGCCCTGGGCTTTGCAGCTACGGTCAGAGACAACAGAGTGGGAGACAGAGGTGTCACTAGGGGCCCGTACCCTCACCTTGTCATCACAGCGGCTGGCAGCCACACAGTTCTGGACATAGGCCATGAGGGAGTCAATGAGCCCTGAGTAGTTCCGCATAGTCTGGCGGCCAGCATCAGCTGAGCTCAGGTTCCTGCAGGAGAGAACCAGGGAGGAGGAGGGTGCAGGTGGGGTGATGGGAGGGCAGGGCAGGAGGGCCAAGTGCAGTGGGGACATGTAGTGGGGACCAGTAGAGAGCACGGAGCAGAATTTGGAAGTTGTCACAGGAGTAAGGGAGAAGAGGAAAGGAGAGAGGAAAATAAAGAAAAAGGAGAGAAGGAGAAGAAATCAGTTAGCCATATCTGCCTGCCTGGCCCTGGCTGCAGGGGGTCTCCTCTGAACTCAGTTTTCATAGCTTGTCATTTAGTCCCCCGACACAAGACTCAATGGCGCCACTACATCTGACAGCCCCACTCCTGCCCTCTAGTGGCCACTGGAGGGACAGGAATTGGAAGGGGCAGCATGCTAGCATGCTCTTTTTGCCTGAGGAAAGCAGAGCTGAGGGGGTGCTGGACCAGAACTAGCAGGGGTGTGTGTGTGGGTGGGGTGTTAACCTGGGGTTCAGATGTAGTTACCTCTTATAAAGGTTGTGTTCATTCCCAAGCACTGTGGGTCCTCCTGCCCTAGGTGGTGCGTATGGTGCATGTACAGGATGTGTGTGTGTGTGTGTGTGTGTGTGTGTGTGTGTGTGTGTGTGTGTGTGTGTGTGTGTGTGTGTATTGTCACACCCAGGAGCCGTGTGGCCTCATAAAGTCCTGAATTACTCAGGCTTTTCATCTACCCAGCCTCTTTGCCCTCCGGAAGCTGTGGCTGGAGGCTGGCTGGGAGATGTGCAAGCTGAGACACAGCAGCACATATCAACTTCACCCCTATTCTGCCAATTCTTTGGAGTTCCTGTGGGGGACAAACTCCATTATAGCAAATGAGACCCGACGAGGGAACTTGTTCCATGGTTCCCTGCTCCATGCCAGCACCCACCCCGCAGCACACCCAGATCCCACCAGGGCTCTGCCACACCCTGCAGTGGATCTCAAACAACTTTGGGCAAGGCAGCACCATCTCCATGCCAATGAACACGGCAAACGGTTTCAGCACTCTGGCAGGAGGTGACTCATGAGCAGCCAGTCAACAGACTTTTGTATAAAAGAATGCTCTTCAAGATAGTACAAGAAATACATTTTTCCCCCCTGAGGGTGGAGGAGGGGATTTAGTTGAATCAGTTTGGATATTCAAATGCAGGCTTTTCCACTCTTAGATTCCCAATGATGCCGTCTAGATCCTCTGAGGTGGTTGCACGGCACAGCCAGACTCAGAGACAGTGGTAAAACCTGACCCTTTGTCCTGGAACCAGCCCACAAAAAGCAGGGCCCGGGATGAGCATTATGTTCTCTACTCTGGCTGAATGTTGGCTGACATGAAGGGCCCCGGGCAAAAAGACTTTACATGCCCTCTTCTCGCACCTCAAGCAACCCGTGGCGTTGAAGAAGACCTCAGGGTCCACCATCTCCCGGGACATGTTGCTGTTGCCGTCACACCAGCCAGAGAAAGGAATGATGACCCGGTCAGTCAGAACAGGTAGAGCATCGGCCACCAGCTCCTCCTTCAGCTCGTCAGTGGAAGACAGGTTCCAGAGTAGCCCTGGACATAGACATGGTCAGCTCAATATGGCGGGCTCTGAAAACCTAGGGACTGATGGTGCAGCCCCTAGCCTGGGCTCTAGCCAATGGCTACCTTCCAAGTGGGCTTGGCCCATCAGATACATTGTCTGACTCCCTGGTGATCTCATTCTCAGTGCCCTTGGGGACTGCAGGTTCTTTGAGGTCTGGGAATATCTCAGCATCCCCTGTCTAGGTAAAAATTATGCACACGAAAGCTTCCTAAAATACAGTTGGTTGATCAGTGGTTTTAACCATATATCTTAGAACTTGGAAGTGTTTAACATTCTCTGTTTTCCATCTGAAACAATACATGGAAAGTATCGACCATGGAGGTTGGTCTAGAAATTCTTATGCATTGTTACTCTGAACATTCTTGTCTTTCCAGTCTGACTCAAGGTCTTGACGGTGACTTCTCTGTCCTGTACCCCACCTTGAATACTTCATGTACTTTGTGAATACAGGGCCAGGCCAACCTTTAAGGCCTGCTAGCCCCTCCCCCACTGGCTTTGCTTCCCTTCCATCACCTGCAAATTTCAGTGCCGTCTACATAAGGCTCCTTCCCTTGCACCCCAGTCTTGAAGATGTCGTGTGCAGAGTGTCCACCATCTCAGGCCATCATCTGGATGCCACTACTCCAGCTGGAGCTAGTGCCACTGAGCTCCCGAATTGTAGCCCAGTGAGACCTATACAGCTGTGCCTTGGCCTCGCCTAGAAGGATTGGTCACAGACATACCCTGCCGCCTTGCCCAGTCCCCACCCTGGTTTCTCTACTGTAACAGCCTACCGGTCAACTGTTTCTGGATCTCCGTGCTCCCGCTTCTCCGCAGGAGGCTGACAGCCTCACGGATCCCATTCTGCCTCCTGGTCTCCAGCTTATTGGTGGTGCTCCTGAACACCAGGTTGCGCAGGGCCCCAGCAGCAGCCTGCTGGACATTCTGATTGGGGCTGCGGAGGAGATCCACCAGCTTGCAGATGCCCCCCAGCTGATAGACCTGCCGAGAGAGTTGCCCACATTATTGCTTGTTCAAAGGGAGGGAGACTGAGACAATTATTCTCTACTCAAAGCAGCTGTTTCTCAGGCCAAAAAAAGAAAAAAATCAGTTCAGAAGCATACAAGCCAACCACAACAAATAAACAGCAATGAGTTAATGGTAACTGACCCAGACAAGAAAGCCAAAGACCCGAATTCAGAGCCTAGCTCCCTCATAGCCTGCTCGAGGCCCTTAGCAAGTCTCTCCTCTGTCTGGAGCCCTGTTTTCCTCTTCTGAAGCACGCTAAAGACCAGATGAGAAGATGTACCGCCATGCTTCAGAATCCTAAGGGGACGTAGACACACCGGAGGTGCCACAGAAACTCTCCTACGGTTGAAATTTTGATGAAAACTACCCGGGCTTCTAGGAAGCCACTTGTGGCACACATGGCTGTACTGTGTTCTGTAGGTGTTTTCCTAGCTGGCCAACAGCCAAGCGTGGGAGGCAGAAACGAACCTTGTTTTTCACTGAGGGAAAGAGCTGGGAGGGAGGGAGTTGAGACGGGGATGGCGGGGGGGGGGGGGGGGGGGGGGGGATAGTCATATCCTTGAGTGGAATCTGAGGAAGGGGATTTCTGGGAAACTCATGGCTGTCACTGAGCCATGGGCCTCTTCCCTGGCTGTTGTAAACACAAGTCTCCTAGAGTAACAGCTCTTACAATCTTCATCACAGCAGCTGCAACTGCTTCTAAGAGACCCTCAAGACGGTGTTCACTGAGGGCTGCGGCAAGGGCTCAGTGGATGGAAGAGCTTGCCGCAAATCCTGATGATCTGAGTTCAAATCCTGGTGATCTCCAGGACTCGCACAGTGGGAGGGAACTGAATCCTGATAGTTGTCTTCTGATCACTGCATATACACACATGTGCACATGCGCTCACACATACACACACACACACGCAGATTAAAAGAAAAAGATTGGGGCTGTTATTAGGAGGGGATGGAGAGAATCATTAGATTTTTACCTGAGATTTCAGCCACCCCTTCCCACACCTCCCTCCCAGAGATATGTAATTGTGCCCAAGTTATGTAAGTTCCTGTGGTTTCAGGTCTTGGAGGTGATAGAGTATATAGAATATGAAAGATTAGATGAAGAGAGGGGGGCATTCTGTCTTTATATCTGTGCTGGGATGAGACTTGCTTGGGGTTACTAATGCTGTTATAAGTTACTCATCATCCGTGCTTTGTAAATAAACCCAAGAAAGTCATTGATATGCCAGGGTGTATCTTGGTGGGATCAGTACTCTGGTCTGTCATTGGTACACTGTCTCGGGTGAATAGCTGTTTGTTTATATCTCTGTAGGAAAGGTTCACATAGCAATGGCCAGTGGGGTAAATACACCTGTCTAAGGTCCACTAAGGAGGGCATTACTCGGCAGGTTAATATGCAGCTCTGCTCTTGCCAGGAGTTCTCCTTCTCCTGGTGGCTGGGTGCCATGAAAGGGAACCAACTACACATGCTTCCACTCATCTCCAAATGTGGGGCCAGGCTGACACACTCAGGACCTAGTAGCTGGGAAGGTGTACGGCCTTTTACCTGTTGCTTGGCAGATTCATCCTGGAAGCAGGTGTGCTGGATGTAATAGGCCCCGATGGCCTGGTACTTCTCATCCTGGGAGCTTAGGTACTGCACAGCCTTGGGGATGGTCAGCCCACTGCACTCAATGTCCTCACTGCAGATCCTGGAAGAATGGGGTACAGCATATTACAGGATGGGCTGGGAGCCCTGGCGAGCAGGCTCTAAATTCTTCCTTGTACACTCAGCCACCACAGCCTTTCCCCCAGGGAAACAGAACAAGGCAGCCAGGCTCTCTTGGAGAACACCTTGTGAACAGCTCCCTACTTGGAAGGAAAAAGGCTGTGTTCGGTTGGAGTTTCCCTCTCTTGGAATAAAGCCCCTGTGGTGGGTTAAGGCTGGAGCAGGACAGTTATCTTTACACTGTGCAGAGACTTGGCCCTGTTTCCTGAGATGAAGCTTCCCATCTATCCTACCATTCCGTCTGTGCCGTATCCTGGGAAAGTGAAAGCGAATGGCCTGTCTAGTCCATCTCCACCCGCTACTCCCAGCTAGCTTCTTACACACACAAACAAACTCTTATATTCAGTCTTTCTCGTCCTCACACTTACCATATTCGTCTGTGTTAGGATAACTTTCATGGGGCTAGAGGCTAGAGGGTTGCTCTACCCAGCATACTACAGCCTTTAACTAGGTCCTGAAAGCCTGTCCACGAGCTTGCTCTCCAGTTCAGAAACCAGCTGCAGCTTCTCCATACAGCAGGTTCAAGTTCACACTGCTTGGACAGACACTGAAGGGCATGCATTAGGTTGAACTACAGCAAATGGCTATTAGTTCACTGTTTTAACGGATTGCTGGCTCCACTGCAACCTCTGGCACGTTCCCTAGCCTCTGGCAAGAGTCTTGGTTGTAGCAAAACATCCTCGGTTCCAGGCACGAAGGCCTAGCCTAGGCCGGCTGGAGTCTCCCTTCCAAGAAGCCTTTCCAAGGAAGGGAATCCTCGTCTGGGAACTCCCACGGCTCCCATGGTATACAGCCACAGGCAGCCTTTCCGCTCAAGTGTGCTTTGCTTCTGAACAGAGAGAAAATGTCCCGGAGGGCAGAGACAGATGTCTACCCCAGCCCTACCCCACAGATGTCTTCACCATCTACAGTGGGAACCCTCTCCCCATTTGTACAGAACTGATACTTTGCCATAGTTGGTGCTCAGTAAATAGCCACAGTTATAGCTAAAGCAATCCAACTTCATTTCTGAAAAAAATATCATCCAAGGAGCAGAATTCTCTGGCTGTGGGCTAGTTGCCCACCTGACCTCTATTGAGAAGGCATCACCTTACCTTTATCAGTCAACTGTCCCTTCTGTGTGGCTTGCCACTCAATCCTAGACCTCCAGTTGGGGGCAAATGGCGCCATGGTTAGACTCCCAAAGAGAAGGACTTCTGAGTCCTTTCACAAGTTATTCTAAATACACCTTGTGTACTTCAAATGTTAGAGGTCCGCTTTAAATGGATCCTGCTTTCTTTCAGAACAGTGGGGCTGGTAAGAAGGAGTGCAGCCTATAGAACTAGCCTTGGGCAAGTGCCACCGTCTGTGGCCCTCACCAGGGTCTGCCTGGAAAGGGGCTGCATAGGAAGAACACAGAGCTCCTCGGTCACTGAGAGTGAGCTCCAGAGGTGTGGTGGCTGTATCACCAGGGCTGTGACTGCTGTGCTCACCACAGAGCCTACTCGGAGCAGATGCTCCCTAAATGTTTGCCAAATAAGTGAGTAGCTGTCATAGGTGATGAGGGACAATTGGAAAGCTCATGGCACTCTGAGCCTGGAAAGGCAGGTTCAATGTTACTGTGGCCCCAAAGTACCCTCTGCCTATGGCTCTCTATGGGACAGCTCATTAGGTCTCCTTCATGGTGTGGGGTGTGCGTGTGTGCATGCGTGCGTGCGTGCATGCGTGTGTGTGTGTGTGTGTGTGTGTGTGTGTGTGTGTGTGTGTGTATGTGTGTGTGTGTATGTGTGTGTGTCTATTACCTAGAAGACTTGTTGGAACACATATTGCTAGGACCTCCAGATGTCTGTAGGACTGTGTGGGGCCCAGGAATGAATATTTTTTAAAATTTATTTTATTATTTTATGTGCATGGGTACTCTGCCTGAATGAATGTCTATGCACCACATGCATAACCAGAGGTCAGAAAAGGGTGTTGACTCTTCTGGAACTGGAGTCGCAGATGGTTGTCAGCCACCATGTGGGTGCTGGGAATCAAACTTGGGTCCTCTGGAAGAGCAGCAGCCAGTGCTCTTAGCTGCAGAACCATCCCTCCAGCCCTGAGAACAAGTATTCCTAACGCATTCCCAGGTGCTGCTGATGTCGCTGATCAGAGAGACACGGCATGGCAGCCATTAGCCCGCTAATTTTCTCTCATTTGTTCATAACTTGTGATCCTTAAGACCTGTGTACGCAATGTCTGGGTTCTGTGACCTTTTCACTCTAAGGACTCCCTAATCAGCGGCCCCTCAGACCAGAGATTCCTCAAGGAATCCAGGGAAGCCAGAACACAGGCTGAGCCCCGCCCTCCCGGCCCCCTTCCTTGGAAGCCCCTTGCTGCGTGGGCCAGGCTAGCAGATTGCCTCCCACCGGGCCCCACCACAGCCCTGCAGCACTCACTTGGAACTGGCCCTCGAGTGGCCAAAGGACAGGTCCTTGTTGCAGGAGATAGGGGGCACATACACCGGGTCCTGCTTGGAGATGCAGGAGGGCGGTCGCACGGGGCACTTCTTGACGGCCTTCTGACCGCTGCAAGTGCTGTAAAAGCTGTAGCGGTTCTGGGTGGTCTTGTGGCCCTTGCTGCTGCTCAGCGTGCCCTTGCGCAGCGTGCCCCTCGGGTCACAGTAGAGGTCAGGCTCACTGCGGCTCGCCTTGATTTTCTGCATGAAGCAGATGTCGCTGCCGGCGCCAGTGGTGGCACAGCTGCCCCGCGGATAGTGCCGGCTCCAGTTCTCCATCTGGCTGTAGGAGCTGAAGCGTCTGTTGTCGGGCTCCCGCTTGAGGGTCCCATTGTAGATCTGGACAGGAAAGGGGCGAGAGGTTTAGTCAGTCTCCTGACTGGGATCCTGGATCTGCCTGTCCACAAAGGCAGCCCTTCCTGGCCCCGTTACAGTGTTCAAGGGATCTGGAAATATTTGCAGAGAAAGGAACCTTGGGCATTATCTGCTTGCTAAATTACTTTTCCGATGCAGGTTGTGAATCACTGTGGAATATGAGATCATATTAGCAGCTATGCCACCCTTATCAAAAGTATAGAATAAAGAAATATATTAGAAACTATACAATACAGAGTGTAACATAGCCTGCTTTGTGCTACAGTGTGTAGATTCTGAATTGCAATGTAGAATGTACTTCTTTTTTAAAATTAAAAAAAATAGACTGGGCGGTGGTGGCACACGCCTTTAATCCCAGCACTTGGGAGGCAGAGCCAGGCAGATCTCTGTGAGTTCGAGGGCAGCCTGGTCTACAGAGAGAGCTCCAGGACAGGCACCAAAATTACACAGAGAAACCCTGTCTCAAAAAACAAACAAATAATAATAATAATTTATTTTGTGTACATGGGTATTCTGCCTGCATATGTGTCTACACACCATGTATATGTCTAGTGCCCAAAAAGACACCAGAAGAGGATGTCAGATTCCCTGGAACTGCAGTTACAGATGGTTGTGAGTCACCATGTAGTTCCTGCGGATTGAACCCAGGTCCTCTAGAAGAGCAAACAGTGCTCTTAACTGTTGAGCCATCTTTCAGCACCCAAAATGTACTTCTTATTGTGGAAGCCTGTGAAAGGAAGTTCTATACCATTGATCTGACCACATGGGCCAAGTCTAGGATGGGGGCTGCAAGCCAGAGTGGGGGGGTCTTTCAATAGTCACTCAGGAAAGGGCTTTTGTCTCGAGTCCTTGCCTTGTCCCTGCAGGCCATCCCAAACAGCAGCAGCTTCTGACACAGCCAGCCCTGCATCAGCCCTTGCGCACGTTTGGAAATGTCTATTCTATTCATGTACAAAGAGCTGCTAACTAGGAAGCCATGGTGCACACAGAGGGGGTACAGGGCTGCAGGGTGGAGTATGGGGAGACCCCTGGGCTGTGTCGTCAGGCTGGCTGGAGAAGAGGCAGGGCAGAAACTCATCCAAAGGGAAACACGTACCATGAGCAACAGCCCAACTGGGAATTTACTTCTTTGGGAGGAGCCTGCCAAGCCGGAGACTTGGTGGGAATCAGCTCTGGTACTGAACTCTCCACAGAAGACTTTCCCAGACCCGAAAGCTGGCGGGTCTTGCCTGCCGGAACTTGTTCTCAGACTACAGGATCAACACTGAGCCTGATAAAACCTCTCCATACAGGTGCTGACTTGGGACTCACCTCTGCTGGGATGAGCAAGGGCCAAGTCCAGCCCAGAGGCTGCCCACCCAACCCTCATCAAGGGATGGGGTAGAAAGGTGAGGAAAGGGAAAATGGGTGCAAACCGTGTGTCAGCAGGGGAGGCTGTTAGGAGACCAGCGATTCCCTTCCCCTCTACATTGGATCTAGCCACACAGACCTAAGGAGGGGCCCATTGCTCCAGTTCCCCGAAAAGAATGGGCGTCAAGCTACCCGTTGGAAACGGCATCCAAAACCCAGAAGCCACAGACTGTTAACCTTGGTGGTGGCAGGTACACTCCCTTCCCCATGCCAAGCAGGCACAATTTTCTTCCCCCAACTGGGTCAAACCACCCTGCCACACAGTGAGCCGGTCTGTGGGAGTTGGTAAGGCAGAGGTGAGAGGAGCCGGCAGTTTTCTGGTCGTTTGGAGGTGAACCGGACTCCTTGACAATTATATGCAAAATGTCAAGAGGCCTCCGCTGCTCCAGGCAATGGCCACACTCTGCCTTCTTCTCCAGGGAAGGAGGGGAAAGCTGTACACTCCCCAAGGCAGGCTGCGCTTCGGAGGGAAAGACAACAAGGAGTTCCCTTGTTCTCAGTAAGTGACACACCTGGACGTCATCTCAGACACCTGATGAGGAGCGCAGATGCTCTCCTGGCCCAAACCCAGCGAAGACGCCATCCTGCTGATTAAGCCTGAGAGAGGTTCTGGGCTCAGCAACCCGTGCTGGGAAAAGGAGCAGCAGGCGGCCCTGGCAAGTCTCAGCGAGGTGGGCTGCCCCCAGGGAATGGGCGAGGACGCCCCTGTGAGATTGTAGTACCAGCCTACCCCCCCCATCAGCCACACCCCAGTAGTGTCATCCATTTCTGGGAGCCCCACCCCAGCCTTTAAAGTCACAGTGCTGGATTGTGTGAGTATGACAGCTAGAGGTGGCTCTCCCATCTCCACTGCCTTTCGCTGTCACTTCGACAAGCAGGAGATAAACTTAGCTGGACCCTGTCCTCTCCTGGTGCTACACATGCCTGAGTGCTTGCCGCCGAGGGTCAGATAAAGCATACTGCCTCTAGCCCAGGATCCAGCTGTAGCTGCAGCCTCTAAGGCTGAATTGGCAGTGGCGTCTTGGGAATCCAAATACTCTCCTCAAGCATGACCAGGTTAGGACTTAGGCATGAGAAGGAGATGTGGTCGTCGAGAGCTCAGACTGGAGTCACACTGCCTTGGTTGTCTCAGTGGCCTCCTTGGGTATAACCTGAGGTATAACCTTAAACCCAGGATGTCTGAGTTTCTCCAGCTGTCTAACTGAGATCCTAATTGTTCATGACATAGAGGGTCATTAGCATCATTAGACTAATGTCTGTAAATTAGAACTGGACAGGAGTACTTAGACCATCTGCATCCCTCTGACTCTCACACTGGCTGCCTTTAGGAGCTGGCTGAGGGTGCACACACAGGCACATGGACTCCAGGGATCCCCCTGGCTCTCCCTCCCTAATGCTAGGATCACACGCACATGCCATCGTGCCAAGCTTTTCACATGAATCCCGGGGATTCAAACGCAGGTCCTCATACTGGCATGGCAATAAACTTATACTGACTGAGCCACTTCCCCATCCCCTCTGCTTCCATCCCTGTCTTAATTAGTTAAGACAAATTCTCTCACCGAACCCAGAGCTCCTGGATTCAGTTGGTCTAGCTGGCCAACGTACTTCAGTGATCCGCTTGTGTCCATTCCCCCAGCACTGGAGTTACAGATGTGAACTGCTGTGCCTGGCTTTTAAGTGGGTGCTAGAATCGACACTCCGGTCCTCATGCTTGTTGTATAGCAGGCATTTTTAATAACCCACACCATTTCTAAAGAAGTTTCTAGATAATCCATAAGGGGGTGAGCCCAGGAAGAGGACACCCAGGATTCAGAGTCCCATGCTGAGCTCATTACATAGCACAGAACAGGTCTAAGTATGTTGGAGAAAAATAGAGGCACCTATTCTGCCCAGATGGTACATGGAGAACGAAGCAGGCTTTCTGCCCAGGCGGTGTAGTCCTTACATGGGTGCTCCTGGCATCTGGGGCAGGAGACTTCTCCATTGTCTGGATGCCCAAGCACCACAGGATGTTTGTGGTGGCCCTGCCCCCAGGCTCCAGATGATAGCAATCCCACTCCCACCCCCATTCCCAAACACTGTCTTCTAAGTCCTCAGCAAACAGCTGCAGTCAGAAGAGAATTCATGGACACCTGTGCCCACAGCAGGTGGGAGAACTTCACTGCCAGTCCCTCTCCAGCCACACCCCCACCCTCAGATAGGAATCTGCTGGCAGCCTCCTCTTTGAATACAAAGGGGGCACACACACACACACACACACACACACACACACACACACACACACACACACAGTCGGACTATCCCATGCTTTCTTGGGAATCTCAAACCTCAGGGGGGACAGACTGTGAATCAAAGCATTCCAGACTAGACACTCAGCTTCCTAGGAGCAGAACTGACCATGCAGTCAACAGGCTGGATTAGGTGGCTACAACTGAAGCCCAGAGTGTGGACTCAGAGACATGCTTCTCCACCTGGAACACTAGTGGGGCTTTTGAAAGTCAACCACAGTCCAAGGCAAGCCAGACAGACTGCATTGGCCAAAAGCCTCCCCGAGCCAGCCTGTGTTCTGCCCTCCCTTCTACTGACTTAAGACTAGTTACTCACCTACTCTAAGAGTGAAGCCAGGCTTTGTGCCTGAAGGCATTTGTCTCCTTACATGGCTCTTCCTGCATCCGAGGAAGACCGTCTTCATTATGCTAATGAGGCACCCAGGTTGTTTAGTGGCCCTGCCTTTAAGGCTGTTCGGGCCCCTAAATGCCTTTTTCCCTTCTCCCCCCTTTTCCTGAAGGAGTGTGGCATTTCAACCCACGTTGATGGTCTCTGTAGCCCTGTTCTTCTTTAAGTTAAGTAGGAAGCTCTCAGGAGCCCACTACTCACTCTGTAGGCAAGGAACGTGAGTTCTAGAGTGAGCTGGAGCAAAGTAAACCAATGCCTTTCTTAGGCTCCAAAGGCCTAAGAAACTCCTGTTTGTCAGAGTCACTGGGGAGGACAGGAAGCAGCCGTCCTGGAAGAGGTGGTGTCCACCTGAGCATTTCGTCTGCCTCCTCCTTCTGATTTGCCACTGCTTCGACTGTTGGGCCTGCATTTCCTCGGTTTACTCCTGCGCAAATAGATCTGATTTACAGGATATCTGATATGTGACCCCCCAAGGGGGTCGCGACACACCGGTTGAGAACCATTGCTCTGATCCCGGCCTTTCCACACCATCGCTCTCTGCTTTCTCAGGCAAAGCTTCCATTAGCCCCGACCAACCATGCTGGAGAACTTGATGTGTCCCTGCTATTTACCAGGCAAGCACATCAACTTGACTCTAGTCCGTCTACCCAGCCATCTTGTCCCTCCCAAACACACCCTCTCACACTGTCCCACAACAGCAGACACATGCTGGCCCCTGCCTCGCCTGCTTTCTGCCCACCTGCTTTGGAACCCCACACTCCTCCCAAGCTTCTGCTCAAACCTGTCATCTCCATGAAGTCGGCTCGGCCCCATCTTGGCCCGGGGTGCTCACAGCTGGAATCCTTCAGCTGCACACCCAGTCTCCCCTGGCCTTG